TGCCTTAAAGCCTATGCAGACAGCAGATCGAATGATCAGTGGGTCCAAAGCCTTGAATGCAAAGGCTAGGCACACGTAGATTGTACTGGGGACGAGCTGCATTACGTTTGGCATAATTGTGAATCTGATTAGATTAAGATTTTATACTAATTATAACAATAATGATTGATCTTAAAGCGATACCATATTTAGTTAATGAAAATATTATAATTACTTGTTATGAGAATATTAATACTATGTTGTTTTAGTTGGTAGGTATTAAAAGATGATTAATCAAGTCAAATCAAATCAATCTTTATTGTTGATCGCAGGTTATATAAAGATATTGGATGCAAGGACTGAATAGTTACACAGTGTTCTGCCTAAAAGGCATATAATATTAGTTGGTTAGTAATTGTCAACTAATCTAATCAATAACATGTTATGTCAAAAATTCAATTAATTCATTAAGTATTTATACATTTACAAAGTATTGTCAGCTAGATAGTCGTTTACACTATAATATGCTTTAGCTACTAATAATTTACAAAGTTTTCTTTTAAAAACATTACAATTATCCAGATTACGTATTGGTTTTGGAATTATATCAAAAATTTTTGGAGCCACACAAAAGATACTTTTGTTCAACAGAGCTGTCTTAGAGGGTATCGTACACAATTTGTCTCGATGACGCAATCTCGTCTTATTTTCAAATAGTTGTTGATTCTGTTTGACAAAAATACCAACTTCGAATATATAGATTGATGGCAGGGTCATAATATTTAGTTTAATAAAATATGGCCTACAGGTATCCGTACTCTGTAAATGACATATGCTCCTAACACATTTTTTCTGGGCTCTAAAGGCAGTTACAGAATCAGTCGAATATCCCCAAAATATAATGCCGTATCGAACAGTTGAAACTACGTACGCGTGATAAGCTGTAAGGACCGTGCACTGATTCGCGATCCTACTAAGTTTGTACAGTGCACAAGAATAGTGGGACAACTTTTTGCAAACATGTTCAATGTGTGTTTTCCAAGTCAAATTTATTATTATAGTACTGATTAAAGTACTGATTTGATAAAAAAACATGCTTGATTTATTTATGTCGTATGTAATGGTATTTTTATATCTTATAGCTTAAATACAATGATGTCACAACTTACCTCGGTACCTGTCACAACTTACCTCGGTGGTAGGAGAGTTGTGACAAGGGGAGTGGACTTGAATTTTGTAATTTTTTTCAGAAACTATTATACTTTAATTAATTTTAGTGATGGTTTTGAAAACAGAAGGAATGGCGCTAAACTAATTCACTTGAGTCATAACTGTGGAATGTTTCTTAAGCGAGATAGAGCCTCTTATGTAAAAATTGTCACAACTCTCCTAGGTCTCCCCTACTGATCCACGTTGCGAGCTTGCCGTTAAACTCTAACCCTCAGATCTCACCTTACTTTTTGGGCAGCAAACGTTTATAATAAAAAATACCTTGTTTTATTACCCATTATCTGTTTTACCTACTTTTTTAAAAAGCGTTACAACAATGTATCGCCGCAATGTATTGATTATGCAAAAAATAAAAGAATCATGTTTAATATTATTTAATAGTCTACCCGACGGACAGAAAAATAAAAATTAGTCATCATCCGGCGACTTGTGTACAATACGGTGTGTATTAGATATAGACATATTTAAACATTCCTCCCAAATATTTAAAAAATGACAAGTGTTGATATTGTTCATATTCTCACACAGATATCGCCATAATACGTTATGGTATGAACGATTGTTCAGTTATTGGTTTTAATATTTAATTACGCACTCGTTGTTTACTAAAATATATAGTGTTTCGAGGATATTGGTGTGAGTTGCATATTTGATAACATATTACATTATTTTAATTAATTAAAGCTTAATGTACAACTGGTTGATGTCCCTAAATGTAAAAAATAAAATAAATAAACCATACATATTGATTACATTAGCTGAATTACTTATTCAAACATTACGAACTATGTAATATTGTTCGGTTTGCGATCAGGAAGTTTAGCCACTTTCGCAAGGACCGCTGATAGGATAGATGGACCAAAATGTATCAGCCCTGCTACATCTGCAGTTTTAACATCCTTCGTGAATGAGTTTATTCATAAAAGTGATACCACCCACTATATAAACCATTGTAGAGCATGGTGTACAGACGTTGGGGTAAGCGTCAGTTATACAGTAAGTAAGTCTATCTTACTGTTGTAAGATAGACTTACTTTGGAACAAGAAGTCATTTAGTTTAATCATTTTGAGTAATTGCTGTTATAGTTTTAAGGGATTCGGTAATTTATTTATTAATACGTGAAGCAAAAACTTTGGCCCCCTTTTTACGAAAATTGCGAGGCGAAGTATGAAATTTGGCACACTTATAGTTTATATGCAGTAGAAGTGCAAACGGCTAATATTTTCCAATCATAAGGCTTATAAAGCACACGAAATCGACGAATAAAACATTAAATACACTACTATGCATTTGACACACACAAACACGTATTTGCTACACGCATACATGTACTCTGTGGCCAAATTGTTTCTTTTGACATAGAGTTTGTTTGTTTCTTTTGAATATTGGTTTCGCACGGCTTGTGCATTTAGCCAGTGTCAAGTTTTATATGTTTACCATAGACATTTATTTATATGTTTACTGTAGTACAGGAAAAATAAGTGATTTTTAGTGATAAGTACAATGCAATGTAATATACAAATGTGCTATCATTCTATATTTAACGAAAATTTCTGTAGCAGTAATCTGAATGATAAATTTCATTATACAGGTAAAAATATATAAATCTGTTATGACTGGTTCAAGGATCTTTTGTATTTTTTATTGTGGAGGCTAAACAAATCTTTTTTTTCTTGATTTCAGTAATTTCATGAAAGAATTTTCATTATATAAATTATGTTAAATAACTTCTAATTGAAATTTATTATGGTCAAATTTCGACCATTGGGCGACCACTAGTATTATAAAATAGGTAATTATTAGCAGATTCCTATTATAAAGCCACTCTGGTACTTCGCAGTTAACATTATCAATCTCTGTCTCGAATGATAATTTACATTGAAACTTAAATTGTAAATGGATTTGTTTTAGCTGTATTTCTATCTAGAAATTTATCTACACAATAATATTAATCTATTTCATTCTGTTTTCTGTTTATTTCTGTGATTCCCGGTTTGAGTTTATCTAACTCGATGACCCTGAACCTTCACATAGTACTGATGATTGATATGCTCCATTGGGAGTATGCGAAAACCCTGTTTCATGCTCGTTGGAATCCTCTACATTAATATGTTTTAGAATAACGTAGTATCGTCAAAAAATACCATTTATTTTGAAAAAGCTAGTAATAAAAAACAATAAAATAAATTTATATTACAATTCAATGTTCCTGTTTATTTTAATTGTCAAAACTGCGATCGAAACCATTATTTTCTAAAGCAGTAATTAGTTGACTTGAATCGTTCGTGTAAATGTAAATATTATACTCAAGAAATCCGAGAGCAAATACAAAGTGTTGTGTAAAGATTGGAAGATTTCCACGTGGTGGATTACATTTATTCGGAAATTCTGCCTCACCAAACTTTCCGTGGATCACTTTGATGTGTACGTATAATATCTAATTGCCAAACTATATTTCCTGACTAACGGCTGGTTTCTGAATTGACGAAAGTACAATATCTAAACTGATGATTCTCAATAACTGAAGTTTTTGCATTTCACTAGGCAAAAAGTCTTAATTTATCAAATTGCTGTCAACTGGTCGTTAAAAAACTAAAAACGGAAACAAAATACTGTTTAAGTGACGCTTAAATGCAGTTTGAGACGTGATTAACCTTAAATTCAGAAACCTGGTATTAGTATGTAATTTAGGTGCCTAATGAAGACTAAAAACTAATTTCTGGAATTACTGATCCGATCTATGAAAAATATAGTCATTAAAGGAAGAAAAGTTTATTGCCATTACTAATACATTAAAATAATTAGGCACTTATTCATTGCGTCAAATTTTGATGAATTCTGTCACTCGAGCGTCTCGCTGGAATAATATTTATGTTGATATACCTACTGTTATAAAACCAATCAATTTAAAATACTTTTATGTTTTACGTTCGTAGAAGTGTATAAGAAATGGCAATGGCACTTTGCATATAAATGAGGCACATGAAAGGGTAGGAAAGTATGAAATGAAACAAATAATTCAAACAGTCAAATATTTTACTAGAATTGAAGAGGATAAAAATCATCGTTAATCACTTCAATATCCCTTTTAAATAAGGGCTCAAATTATTTTAAAGGGATACTTATAATTCATAAATCATATTGACATAGATGGAAAGCAACAAAATTTTCCATTTAAGAATCTTACAGTAAGTACTAGTTAAACAAAGCCTTTCACTTAGTTACCATTTTTATTTAGACCGCACTTTATATTATATATATTCTACTATTATTTACAACGGACAGAGATATGTATATACAAATAACTATTAATATTTATTATTATAATTATCATGAGATTACTTTCGTTGGTATTATTATTTTGTTTAATATTAAAATCTGATATTATGAACTTTTTAATTATTTACATGGTTATAGACTCTAGTGACAGTGCTATGCACTATAGAACCCGTGAATTATTTATGTACATATTTAGTATACCTTTTATAAAGAATGAAGTGTAACTTATAGATGAATTTCCGAACCCATTTTTTAATAATTGTTAAAACTAGGTGTTTAGCTTGTCATGTAAATAAATATTTAATGAACTGCAATATTTATCTAGAAACAGTCATTAAAATAAATTAATTGTTATATACTAGGCTACAGTGATATCACCGTATATATATAAATATATATCATAGATTAACATTATCTAAGTATGAAGATCTGAAAATTTAAATTTGAGCAAATCATCGGCTTCCATTATTCAAAGCACAAAACTAATACAGTCTTTGGCACAACACGTGATTTATGCTTTAATGCAGAGCAACTTCTTAAATGCCCTTCTAAAATCCATGTTAAATATAGTGTATATTAAAGGATTCAATGCTGAGTTCACATATCCAAGCCAGGTAATGAAGTTGATGAATTTATTGGACAAACAACAGCTCGCGCAGAACGGGATCACGAGATAAATGACAAAAAAAGGTAGCCAACACACGACAAATACTCCCATTATTATACCTAGAGTTCTGGCTGCACGTCGCTCGCGAGTTAATGATATTCGTTGTTTTTCTTCAATAAACTGATACACTGTATTTTGTTGGTTTGGTCTCACTTGCTTCTGTGGTTTTGCTGCTACTGGCTTTGCTGATTCTATCAGTTCGTTATCAGGGGTATCTTTAGAATTACTTTCAGACGATGTGTTCCTATTATCATTATCAACTATATCTGTAACTGAATTTTCGTTTGATAGTATCGGTATTATCAATTTGTTTTGAGATTTATCATCTTTATACCAGTACTTTTTCTTAGGTTTTTTCTTGGGTGTTAATTTTCTTGTCCTTTTTTTCTTTTCGTTGTCAGACACCAACCGGGTAGCACCTTGATGTTCGTTATGATTAGCTTCTGAGCTTACAGAGTCTTGATCATTTTGGTCATCTTTTGTGTTAAATCTGTTCTGGCCGCTCGAAATAGTACTTATCTTTGTAGCTTTAGCACGGTCTCTTAGCCTTTTTTTAGTGGCCAAATATATTTCGAAGTACACTACAGTCATTATTACTAATGGTATATAAAAGGAGCCCGACGAAGAAAATACTACAAATCCAGGTTGCGAAGTCAGTCGGCAAGGCGTATCAGGTTCAAAAACATCAGGCCAATCATTCCATCCGAGCAGCGGAGGAGAGCTTATAATCAATGAGAGCCCCCAAACTACGCCTATCATCAACAAGACCCTTTCTAGCGTTCTCTTTTGTGCGTAATTTATAGGGTCCGTAATGGCCCAGTATCGGTCGAGGGCTATAGCGCACAAATTCAAGATAGATGAGGTACAACACATTATATCGCACGTCAGCCACATTTTACAGACATATATTCCAAAAACCCATTGCCCTAAGATTGAATATGCTACGTTAAGCGGCAACACTAAAATGGCCACAGTTAGATCTGCAACCGCTAATGATACAATGAAGAAATTTTGTACAATTCGTAATGGTTTATATGTGAATACACTAAGAATTACAAGAATATTACCTATTATAGTTGAAATAATTATTAGCGTTAATATTATCGCTGTACAAATGGCTTCCCATTCTGGAACGGCTAAAGTCACTCCGAAACTGCTCAAATATTTAGGCTCGTCAGCAACAGCACAGGCATCATATTTTACTTCATCAATCGCGTCATATAAATCCGTGTAATTCACCAATGTATAGTTGGAATCAAGGTGCGTTTGTATTTGACCCATTTTGCTATGTTATACAGCTACATTTCACGTAGCATTATTAGCGAGAACATTTAACTTTAATGATTTTCTTGTTTCCAAATGTTTAGTCGAGGAATACGGACAATATTTCTTCATTTGGTTTGACGTAATTCCTTGAGGGTGTAACTTTTCGCATGCCATCTTTCTGCAACAAAAACGAACAATCCTTTCATATCGTAATCATGATATACTGCGTCTTTCCTGTACGCTACGTTCTATATATAATCTAAATTACCGTTTGTTGTATATGTCTTTCAGAAACTGCCATTTATAGATTGTGCTCATTTTGTGAAGACGTTGCTTTATCTGTAACAATGAGAATATTATGTGAGACAAATTAGAATGCGTTAAATTTAATGTACAAAACTATAAATTTTCAATCTAATGGGACAGGTATCTTTTTATTTATAAATCTCTTCGGGAAGTGCATTGTCAGAAAGATACACTACCGAAGAAAAAAGAAAAGAATACGCGGAACAAGGAAAAATTACATATCCAGGCGACTAAACTCAAAAAGGTTCAAACAAGAATTCAACATAAAACTTTGTATGTACAACAAGCTGCTTATAAATATTACAGAGTTACCATTAAATAGATATAAAATAATTATAAAATTATTTTTTGAAACTAATCCATTTTATAAAGTAAATGATTTTTTGACAAAAACCTGAAAAGGTTGTAATTTTAATTTATAATGAAAATATAGTAAATTCATCTAATTATTAATTTATATGATTATTTTCAACTTAATTTTGATACCGATATTATTTCCCGTTGTGATTATTATTTTAAGAATTACGAATTATTTTATAATGATACAATTGCATATTTATGAAATATAATTATATTATGTAAGCTGTAATAATTAATTGATGGTATTGTAAAATTCTGACATGGCACATGTGACATACATGTCATAACATGGCCAATTTGTAATAAATAAATAAATAAATAGTATGGAAACAAAAAACCCTTTTACACGTACAAATAGACATAGGTTTGTTAATAGCATTGATTCTCAAGGGCTATAATAAAAAACAAATCCCTGTATGGAGTTGACAGACAAGGGTCGTGATGAAGGTGGAACGTGGAATACATATTCTAGCTCGTAAAGGACGGACTAACTGGAAACTATGCTATGATACCTTCACAAAATTACGTGAACCAACGATGACACCGTATTAGGGAATGTATACGTTTTCTGTCATTTTTCATTAATTTAATACTACCTAGATTTTACGTCACACGTTAAGGGGCACATTTGTGTCTGTTCAATAATTTCTGTTTTAATTGATATGATTTTGGTGTACTGTCTCTCTTATTTCAACATAAGATAGGTACCATATAAACATGTAAAATGTCATGATATAAGGTAAACTTATATGTGTGAACATGTAAAACAGTATTTGTAAGTGTTGTAAACGTTAAGAATATAAAAAAGAAGAGTACATTTGTGAAGATTCAACTCAAAAAAAACCTCTACGAACTAATACAGTCATTACAATTTAGTACCATATAAACATGTAAGATGTCATGATATAAGGTAAACTTATATGTGTAAACATGTAAAACAGTATTTGTAAGTGTTGTAAACGTTAAGAATATAAAAAAAGAAGAGTACATTTGTAAAGATTCAACTCAAAAAAAAACCTCTACGAAATACAGTCATTACAATTTATTGTGCGTGATAAGATAAGTCATAATAAGTCATTACATTTGGAATACGAGAGCGAATAAGAGTGTATTTATATTATTCACAGCTGAGCCCCCTAGTTGCACATCGCGCGCAAATAATAAGTCCATGGCAAAAGAAGTATACAATATTTGATCCCACGATTTATTAAAGAACTACCGGTCTCCTTTAAAATACTTTTATACAAAAAATATGAAACTAAAACACCACTTTTCGTATTTCGTAGTTTTAAACGTACAGCACTAAACAACTGTATGATTCTCTTTTTGTACGTTTTTATTGGGCTTTAGTTAATTCTAAAATTAAATTAATAATATTGAAGATGTACAGATGTAAATTGTAAGATGTTTGCTCAATGCAAATATATTTGTATGACATTGTAGACAAACCTCAGTGGTTTTGAAATGAAATGAAAATATCATTTAAGATATTTTCATTTCATTTTCATTTCATTTCATTTCAAAATAATAATATTAAAGATTTACAGATGTAAATTGTAAGATGTTTGCTCAATGCAAATATATTTGTATGACATTGTAGACAAATCTCAGTGGTTTCTTATATTTTTTTGTAAGAATTGCGCTTGTTTCCTTCACCGTAGAATTAAATGAATTCCATTCGATGCATCTCTCTTTTAATTTCAATACTCGCCTGACGGAAATTGGAAGAGAGTTCTGGAGTCGAACAACTTGAATTGTAAAAGAAGAATTGTAACAAAAATCGTCAAACCATAACAATTTTTTGAATCATTCCTCTTTATAATAAAATATCAAATAACGAACTAGTGGACAGTGTTACAGTTTCATTACGTAAAATTTCGTCGTTTCGCCCCAAATTATTTTAGTTCCAATATATTTTGGAATAGGGTAGGCGACTGGGGCATTAATATGTAACTTAGTTGGAGTGGTGAAGTAACTTTTAAGCCGTACACATCCACTTTTGTTAATTGTACTCCGAGCGAAATTAGTGGTTTCAAAATTACTTTAATCAGCATGTGATTAGTGTACAATGCTATCATCTAATACACTAAGAGCTATTTCTAGATTTTTATCCTCAACGTTTTATTTGTTAGTTTATACAATTTAATTGGAATAATTTCTTTGCAATTTAGTAGTTATTGTAATAAAACGACACAACACAACAAGTCGTTTATTTTCGATAGTCTTAAAAATACTAATTTCTTTTAATTGTGATTGTTTTTTGTGTACTTGTTTGGACTTGTCTTCGTTAGTTTTTTAATTATTTCAACGAATTCTTTTTTTGTTTGAAAAAGAATACTCTCGAAGTAGTCTAATAAAAAATATGAGCCTCAGATGTTTTTATTGGAATAGCGAAAAAGTAAAATTACAATGAACAAAGTTTTTCGTGGTATCTATTCTTATCTTCTTAATTTTTTCTTATGTTTTTTGCTTATTATTATCTTTTACCTATCAATAACTATAATAAAAAAAATTAAGCACTCTATAAAAACAACGAATACAACAGTACTTATTAAGAAACATCTTTATAGACAGCTGTTTTTTTTATATTCTCGGAAGCTTTCAAATGTTTATATGTAGCTATTTTTTGATTCCTTTTGTTTTTTTATTCAGTTGAAGTTTTTCTAAGATAGTTATTATAGACATATCAACGTCTTTGTCGGTATATTGTTAGCCCCATTGCTGGGGCACAAGTCTTCCTTTTGAATTAAATCGAGCAAGGCGAATGGCCATGAGCCAACACCCAATTGGTGGGTGTTATCAATGGCTTAACGTGCCTTCCGAAGCCATATATTTTCGGTCACTCATTCTGTTGCTGGCCCATGCGAAAGTTGCTTAGCTTCCATTACCGACCGAACGTGCTAACCACTGCGATAGCGAGCTGCTCTGTTTATTTAATCTCCTTATCTTATTTTTGATAGTTGTTCAGCTTAAGTGTCCTAAAAATAATCCTCATACTTTCTTAACTTAGTTGTATTATCACAAAGTAGTTGGCAACATACAGCTACTTGAGAGGGTGGTCACGCGTTCCAGTGACGTCACACCTCTCCCATTGTGCCGAGACTAGGTCAGCAGCACCGTTAGAAATCTCTGGGAAGACGTAATAAGCGGTTTTAAGCTGTTGAAATTCATATTATACAGTTATTGTAAAAATATCCATAAAATTACTTTAAATTTAAAGAAATCTACTTTTTACTTATCTAACTAATACATATTATAGTAAAAAATATGCTTTTGTCACCACCACAAAATTGAAGTTTTAAATATCAGTTGTAAAATGGCACGGCAGAACTCACAGTCATTTATATTTAATCAAGATTTTAAAGCAGTTATCTTCAAATCAATTACGCTAAAACTTAGTTACGTTATTTTAAATCTAATATGGCGGGACAGTCCAGTTATGTTGTACTCTGTACTTGATAGTAGGTACATATATTATGATTTATTGTTTAGATGTTATTGTACATTAAATAGAATGCTTAATTTGTGGTCTTCATATATAAATTTATTTTGACATAAAAGATATCGCAATAGTAATCTTTGAGTGACTTATTTATTGGTTATAAATTCCACTATTTATTTACTTATTTATTAATATGGATAACCAACAGCATATATATTGCAACATAATTCTATAAATTTGAATAATATTAAGTCTTATTTAAACGAATTCTAGTGTTACACAGTATTTGTAACGTTATATATTAATTACACTTTAAATGTAACAGCAACAATCCAATTTGCTGCGTAATAAGAGGGTACAAAAACTCTCCGGTAGATAGAATAAGGCAGATCAAAACACGATCAAGTCAAAAACTGAAAGAGTATTTCAATTTCAAACCCAATACTACTTCATAGAACAAGAGTTTCCAAACTCGAGATTTAAAATTCATCTGAGGCCCCCAAAATGTATCTAGATTAGACAAAGACGTATTGATACCATTTGTGCAGCAGAAATGCCAGGCAACCGTTAATACCTACTATTACAAGCTCGTATCTATAGTAATGCCACACTGTAGTATTATAAAATATGGATCTCTTAAGATATTAATATTACAACATTAAATTATAACCTTCAGCTTCGAAGGATTCTAAGATTCTCCGAAGATGATGGAGAGTCTGGTGATTAATTTAATGTCGTTTAAATTTGAAATATTAATCCGGCGTTCCGCCAATGACACCCCTAACATTTTCCGATAGCACCACATCTCGAATAGAAATGTAATATGTAGGCAATGTGTGAAAATGGAATGGAAAATGTGAGTTTATCTCTCACTAATAAAATAATTCATTAAAGTAATGTAATTGAA